CTACGTACGGTGCAAAAACAAGTTCAACGTGCGTCAACGCAACCACGTAAAATCCCAGGCCGCGGGTCGACTCAGCCCATCAGTCATCCGCGACCGATTAAAATAAGTACCACTTTGTGGGCACGTCAGCAGTGGTTGTCCTACAGAAAAGACTAGACCCTGCCATAGGAATGTGGAATGTCCACCACTGACTCAGAGCTGTAAACAAGAGACGAGCACCAATGCCTGCCTCGATGTCTGTTTGAGGAGCAAATCACCTTTTGAACTTTTTCGAGTGCTGTTTGTTGGTGGCAACACATGGCTCTTTGTGCCTTTGAGCCCTGGTGCTCAGCAAGCCAACCCATGGCTCACGTGCAAGTGCTCACAGGGCCCAGTCTCCGCAACACCACGTCTATCACTAAGCAAGCATTTTGCCTTCAACCAAAAGCTCTTGCAAATGTTTTGAGAGCGGAGTCACGTTGACTTGCATCCACCAGGGGCACTACCATTCAGAGAATTGTTAGAAGAAGAAGAAAACTAACTTGACTTAAAGCTTTCGTGACTACAGGAATTCATATTTTTGGGGGTCTTTCGGTAAAGTCACGTGGATAATCTTCTTGGTTCTTTCGGTAAAGTCACGTAGAAGGGAAATAATAAAGTAATACAAATTAAACATAATAAAACATAACATTATTTTATTATTTCCCTTCTACGTGACTTTACCTAAAGAACCAAGAAGATGAATCCCTGCAGTCACGAAAGCTTTAAATCGAAATTTCACGTGGATAAGTTGAAAGAAAATAACAAAAAACGACGACGTTTCAATCGCAACACAAGCGGTCGTCTTCAGTATTGTGATTGAAACGTCATAGTTTTTTGTTATTTTATTTGAATATATCTACGTGACTTTACCGAAAGACCCAAGAATAAGAAAAAAAACCTAAACATGATTAATTACTCAATGGGAATGCTGCCAGTAATCTCGAAAATTCACCAATGTACCGGGGGAGTACATCTTTCCACCCCTGGAATGAACCACGCAGCACAGCAAGCAGCTGAAGAATGCGCGCACTCCGTTCTGGCTCTGTGAAAAATCTTCCTTAGGTCTGATGCGGTGTAGGGATATTCATTTACACAGCAGCTCTAGGGCATTTGGCCTTTGATTTCTTTAATTTGTCTCAGCGGCTTAGTGTCATGTTGTTGCGTACCCTTTAGCGTGACAGGTTAATTACACGAGCGGGGAAAAAGTAAAAAAAACATTCTCGGAAAACTTGTCTACTGGCAATCCGTCGAGTGTAACTCCGTAGCCGATTTTTCAAAATGCTTCTGCAGAGTGGACCCATCACGTGGCTGTTAACCGGGGTTGCCGCGACGTCTCTCGTACGATGCGATCATCGTCAGCCATGGCCAATCCACAGCTAGATTGGAGGCCTTTCCGAGCCACCGCAACCTCGCAATCCCCCGACGTAACAACCCACAGAGCACCCGCTCGTCTGACTGATTCCACCAATCCCTCATTATTCTTGACCATCCCACGCAAACCCACTTTACCCTTCTTGACAGAATGATATCATTAAATTAAACTTGCGTATGCTCTCTATTCCACCGCGTTCCCTCTTTCCGTCTCTCAATGTAATTCCACACGATATACGTTTCCACTAAATGACGATAATCATGAGATCCACGATATGGCTATCACTCATTCCCCATTCATACAATCCAGTAATCATCATTTACTGTCATCAATTTCGCTTTCACCATCTTCACGCATCGCAGATACGCCCGTTGATTCCTCTCATCTATTTTATTCACCTCATCTGCGCCATTACAGGTGAATTTCCAATAAATATGCTAAATTCCTCTTGATATGCAAATTCTGTTGTCAAGGCGCTCTTCTTCCCCCCTCCAACCCAGCTTAAATATACGCTCCAAGCTTGGTGGTGTTTCATTCTTCACCTGAGGACGGCTGCTTGCGTTGTGGCCGAAACGTCGTGAGAATTATTTTATTATGTTTTAATTTTATTAATTTATTACTTCCCTTCTACGTGACTTTACCGAAAGAACCAAGAAGATGCCCGTAAAATATTATCGTGCGTGCTGTTAATAGCATTGTCATTATTTTATGAAGATTAACTTAAAAGTTCTTCAGCTGCAGTTCACTTCACGTAAGCCCGCCGTGAAGGCGTTTTAAGGATCACAACTTTACAACCCATAACACTTAGAATGCACGTGTATTCCGTTACACGCGGTAAACTAAATACATCATTTTGTTGCCTGCGGTAAACGATGAGGTCATATAATGGCTGTGTCGTAAATTACTCTGAAAAACAAAGCACTCATTTAATGGGAAGAAAAAAAGAAAATCATTTAGAATCGTTAATTATTGAGCTTCAGAGGATACAAAGTGATTTTATTTCGCAATTAAAATTTATTTCGCAATAAAATAATTTTAAAAGAACTGTATACGAGCCACGATAATCACGATATAACGATATTGTGGCACGTCTTTGGCAAGCCGAGCACAACATTAACTTTCAGATGTAGAGCGTCACCGGCGGAGAACGACGACGCGCCGCCAATCGAGCGCATTCAGATCAAGTGACTTGCTCAACGGCTCCCGGCTTTTGGCAATAAAAAGTTTATCCTTCATTCTTTCTAGATTTGAAGCTTTCGTGACTGCAAGAATTCATATTCTTAGGTTTTTTCGGTAAAGTCACGTAGGTAAAAACATCACAATTTATGAAAATAAAATAAAACAAAAAATCACGACGTTTCGAAGGCAACACAAGTCTCCGTCATCAGGTGGGACCGTCACAGCCGAATTAGCTGTATCAAGTGAGGCAATGATTCAAGATGTAATCCCTTATAAGCAAGTTGAAGGGGGGGAGGAGAGGGGGGGGGGAAGCTCATCAGAATGTGGTAGCCAATGAATGGAAACGTATCGGGAGGGAGGGGGGCGGGGCTCAAAGACAGCACGGAGTGCTCAACACTTTTTTTCTCTTTAGGTTTTCACCTCGGAGCGATCTCACAGCCGCCGTGCCGTCGTCGGTTGGGATAATGGCTCGGGGCGATCGCGCGCTCGGTTCACGTGCGGTCCCCGTTGATGCGGGGGGGGGGGGGGGTGCGATGTCAAGGTGTTCTTAATTCAATATATGCGGCTGTAACTCTAACGGGTTACAGGGTAATTTGCTGCTCAAACACATAACTCACCGGGCCGTGTCCAGGGAGCCGCAAATTTGATTTTCATTATTTCACCCAAAGCAGAAGTTGCAATTGAAGGCCCTTATTTCAGCAAGGCTGCATTACATCTCGCCATGGTTAATTACTATATCACGCTGCACGTGACGATTATGGCTGTTGTCTAAGCAACGTTACAGTGCCCGGGCATCGCGTAATGATTTCGGAGTCGCGCTCAGCGAAAGTTGCTCTCGGAACTCTCAACAAAGACGCTAACGGTTCGTTGCGTTTCACTTGCGAGGGCGAGAGACAACGTTGATGGGGGCTGGCTCGCCACCTTATGAGGTACAAACAAAAACGGGACACATCGTGGGAAGGAGGAGAAGGTAAACTTCTAAGTAATTAACTGCAACGTAGTGTGGTATTACGCAACTGACAAAAACTGGGACTTTTGGAGAGTGTGTCCTAGCATGCCTCTCTTTCGTTCTCTGCCTCGTGGCTCAAACTCCCTCCATTCGGCCCAATATTAAGCGTTCTTTATATTAATTCGCCTTGAGGCATTAGTGAAAGGCGCCTTATAAATAAATGTAAATTATTATCATCATTATCATCATCATCATAATCAATTCTACGCGTCTTCAGGTTGTCAAAATTTTACTTTTTTTTGCCTCTTTGCCTCGTTCCCGTACAAGGCCACCAATTCCATGCCATTTAAGGATTTGCCAACTCTTTAGGTTTTCCCAGGATTGACCCTTTTTCAGGAGGTAGCTGCTGTCCTGGGCAAACTGTAAGTCTTCCCGGGACATTAGAAGTCCACGTTTTTTTGTTGGTTTGTGTAATAATGCACCACTCATAACGATGCACTGGCAATCAAGTTCTCCCGTCTGAGACTTAAATATTTTCATCAATTCGGCTGGAAAGGCTCCGTCGAGATCAGTGGCTCCGTCACAAACACCATCGGCAGCTGGCGGTGGTCGTAGTACATGGCAGGGTGGGAATGCGCAAACTCGCAAGACCAAAAAAATCGTTTATGCAGAAATACAAGCCAAAAGTTACCGCGCAAAAGAATGAACACTAAAATTCGCGCAAAGAATGAACACTAAAACAGTGCCTTCATACGAATCAAAAACGGTGTCAATAAAATCCCGTCACAGATGTTCACGAACTTACGTACAACGTCAGACGTAACGGAGCTTAGTTACAGCATTCCCAATGATGGCACAGGCGATCCTGCAGCGTGGCCTTCACACACATGGCTACAGAAGGTCAATTTGGAATATTAAGATTGATTATGAGGACACTCCAGAGGGTGGGTGCCGTGCAAGAGACCGTCCTGGAACTAGACTCCATCTAGGAATGATCACCGGGCAGAGGTCTCTTGGGTTTCTTGGATTCTTTAATGGATGGAGAACGTCAACTGAATGCTGAGCTGGTTTTACGAACATTGCAGGTGAATTTTGCCGAGTGGAGATCTCTGCGTAACTCCAGTGAGGCTCGACTAGTTTGGGATTAAAGCTCACAGCGATGAGTTCTTTGGCAAAATCTGCCAGCCGTATGATGAAGGGGATTTAGTTTACTCTTGTGATATTGTTAGGTAGTCTTCTTCCCAATATATGTCCTGGTTCTTGTGCAGCTCAGAGGTTGCAACCGTAATGCCACCCCATCTAAGCTTAGCACGAGGAGTGATTTAAAAAAGAAAATCTGAACCGTTCGGTGATGATGGTTGAGGCTTGGAGTTGTGGTATAACCGTAAGTACTGAGGCTCATCATCATCATGAGCAGCAGCAGCAGCACAAAGAACAGAATCAGAATCTTTATTTGGGCCGAAGGAATCCGAACCTCACCTCGCAAGACTTGATGCAATTCATGGTCGATGGGTCTGGGTACCACTTTTTCACGGCTGTGCAGATGATGTGCTGCAATAAAAGAAGGGGGTCGTCGGGGGTGGGGGCGGAGTGGGGGGGGCGAAAGTGGGGTGGGGTGAGCAAAATGTTTGTCAATGCAGAGCGGCGACTTCGCTTGGGGTTGGAGAGTTCACCGGGGTCACGTGCCAAGTGTCCCGCACGGTCGCCCCGCACAAGGCGTGGGGGTGGGGTGGGTGGGGTGGGGTGGGTGAGGTGGGTGGGGGGGGTGAGGTGGGTGAGGTGGGGTGGGTGGGGTGGGTGGGGAGTGAGGTGGGTGGGGTGGGGTGGGTGAGGTGGGTGGGTTGGGTGAGGTGGGTGGGGTGGGTGGGTGGTGTGGGTGGGGTAAGGTTGGTGGGGGTGGGTGAGGTGGGTGGGGGGGGTGAGGTGGGTGAGGTGGGTGGGGTGGGGTGAGGTGGGTGGGGTGGGTGAGGTGGGTGGGGTGGGTGGGGGGGGTGAGGTGGGTAGGGTTGGGTGGGGTGGGGGGTGAGGTGGGGGGGTGGGGAGGGGTGGGTGGGGTGGGGTGAGGTGGGTGAGGTGTGGTGGGTGGGGGGGGGGTGGGGGGGGGCAAGCGACCGTTTAGCATGAAACGCAGCCCCCCCCCCCCCGAAACGTAGCGGCGGACAGTCGAGGACGGACAGGACGAGAGACGTGGGTTAAATTTGTCGATGATCTAATCCGCGAACCGCCTTAAATATTCATGAGGCGAGATGAGGGATTGCAGAGGCCCTCGTCTTCCGTGGCGGGTTATCTCATTTGGCCGACGGCACTCCGCCATCCCCCAAGGACACCACCTGAATCATCCATCAACGTCTTGGGCTGAATGCGCTCACGGCAGCGGGCGCCCCGCCAAATGGCGCTGAGGCCCCTCCCCTCCTGCCTCGACCCACCCGGCACCGCCACCCCCCAACCCCCCCCAACCCCCCCAACCCCCCCCACCACCACCACTCGTGCTCTCTGTAATGCGCGCCCTAATGAATGTTCCCGGGCCGTGCCCTCTGCCCCGACGCCGCACTGGAACTAAAAAAAAAACAGGGAGCGGACCGAGAAAGCAAACGGGCAGATGAGGAGTGCGGGAGTGAGCATCTTCCTTCATTCGTTTAGGCAATGCATCCCTCCCCTGCCCCCCACCTTTTGTATAGTGTAGTGTATAGCAGTGTATAGTGTAGTATGTATGTTGAACTTCTTTCGCACCGTACGTAGCCAACCGTGCTAATCGGAGGTGCCGGGGAAGGACAACACACTAAACACAAGAAGCAGTTCTAAAAAATGTTTTTTTCAATCTAGATTTAAAAGTGCATAGCTCCAGTGGCTTCCTAATATCGGAAGGAAGAGCGTTCCAGACGGACGCAGAAGCGCATCCGAAGGCACGCGATGCGGTAACTGTCTTTGTTCGATGGCTAGTCAAGAGCTGATGCGAGGATGACCGGAGTTTGTGTGAGAATGGAACTCCCTCCCCAGGCAACTCTGCCTGGTCCCCTCTCGCGCTCGGATGTTTTCAAATCTCACCTCATAAACTCCCTCTTCAACTCCCTGCCTTGTGCATCCCCCTGAATTGTGCTCGCCTTTCTCTCCTTCCCTCGCTCGGTCACAGCCTGACCTGTCGCGTGAAGTTTTGTCTTCCGAGACATTTGTTCCCATATGGGCGCATCGCTAATGCGACTTGTTGTTGGTGGGTGTCCCGTGACTTAAATCCCATGGAATGATTTGAATACGAGGGCGAAACGAAACGAGGCGATGACCTTGGATGTTTAACCCGACTCCCAAAAAAATATACAGCAGCACGTTCTTGCAATCGGCTAGGTTTTTTTTTTGGCGACTGGCATCTTGCTCTGATGATTAAAACAAGATCGCTAAATCAATTTTTTTGCCGAACCCAGACTAAGCGTTAAGAACAGGTTCCTCTTAAAAACGGGACAATTGGGATTTCCCGTCCATCATTTAGTTGCCGATAAAATGTCCACTTACGCTCTGAGTAGATCAATCCTTAAAGGTTTACTGCGCATTTTGAGCGTCCGATGGTCATCGCGCGGTGTACTGTCCATTGTGAGTTCAGTGTTGAGAGAGGTAAAGGATTTCCATCGAATCTCATGCACCTGCATTTGTTCTTATCAAAAACATAATTCCGGCATTGCACAGTGATACCCCTACCACAGAGGCACAACCCATTATTCGAGGATATTATTCGGGGTGTGCTGGGTTGACAATTTTATTTTTGAGGCCGAGATGACTCTCCCTGCAGATGCACACCAAGGAAAGCCAGGTCTCCTTTAATATCGTGCTCCCTAAATGTAAAAACAACATCTCGGTTCTCTCCCTTCACTCCTCCTCATTATGCCCTTATCATGCCCAAAACACAGAGCAAACTTGCACCTGTGCCTAGCTCTCTTTTGCTGGCACCACTTGCCCCCCGCATGTTTGCGCTGTTTTTGGTATGTACGCCTTTTGGCGTCCTCTGGTCTAATACCGTTTGAGACGAGGCTCAAAAGAAAGCTGTCTCTGGTGTGGACCAATCAGTTTCGAGGACAATGCATATAGTATCAGAGCATGTTTTTGTTTGCATTCTGACCACAAGCATTGTGGTTAATGCAGACATGATTCCTTGTTAAAGTTTCAGTTTGGTGTTTTAAAATCTTAACACCTGTTTTGTTGCCAGAAAAAAGGGGAAAAACCTATCATATTTGTGTTTGTTGTTGTTGTTATTCGCTTACGAGCGTCACTTACCGCCTTTCTTAGTCGTGCAGTACTTCCTTTAAGGACCCTGCGCTCGTTCTCGATAATATCGATGTGTTTGCCTTCTGTTTTTGTTGTTGCTGTGCTCACGCAAGCATCCCGGAAAATCTCCCTTTGTCGAATAGGCGAGCAACTGGCCTGAACCGGATCGTCCGTGTAAACCAATAAAATCAACTCAAACTCAAGCCAGAAGCTATAACCGTAGCTGTAGTCTAACTCCTAACCTTGTACCTTAAAACCTCGACCCTTAACCTGAACCCATAGGCGGCGTTTGACTTCTATATTTCGGGGAAGGTGAGCAGGGGTTTGCATTGTTCCTCACATTAGGAATCGGGGGTGCAAATCATTAATTATTATTATTTTTATCTTACTTGTAAACTGCTGAAAATAATTCAACCAAGGTGTCCGGTTTGGGCGAGGTATTGGCCGCGCGCCCGTGCCCGCCACACAAACGCCACTCCCATGCCCAACCTCTAAACCTTTAACCCATAATCCTTTAACCCTACGCGCCAAATAAGGAAGTGGTCTCCCTTCAATAAATCGTCAAGCAATTGCTGAAGAGGCGGGCATTGGAAAGGACCGCTTGTGGTTAAGCAGAACCTGCGGGACGTCTGTGATCAGATACAATTCTGCTTTGTGATTGCAAACAAAAATCTGCTTGACAGTCTTGCCAGAGCCTCGGGTCTTTCTTTTTCTCTCTCTCTCTCACGCATTTTCAGGAACGGGGAGCGGTTTCTAGTTCGTTTCAATATGACTACTCGGCCCAGATAGATCATGAATCTGATTCCAAACAAGTTCAAATCTAATCCATGATTCCACAGTATGTATCAGGATTGGTCGCTTTGCTTTGATCCAGCACAGTTTGGATGAGATTTTAATTATAGTGGACGCATGATGTCGACGGTGATAATGATGGCGATTTAGAATGTGACATTTTTGTGTAAATGTGACATTACACCTCATGAAAAAAATAAACAAGCATGAAGACAGAACAAATAAGACATTAAAAATGAGACAACAAGGAATGATGGTTGAATCGACACATGATTACAAATCATGACAGAGTGCATTATTGCGTGTCTATGTTCTTTAGTTAGTGTGAAGAAATTGGAGTTACAGTGATCTGTATGGCAGGAAATGATTAAGTCACGTTTGCTGTTCCATAACCAACGACGGGTAACTTTTTCTTATTCACAATAAAAATTACGACGTTAATGTTTAGGGTTTAAAAACAAATATATATATACAGTCAGCGTCATTAAATTGTATCTTTGTCCCCGCACAATTCTGCTCAAACACCGCGCTGCGTGTGCGGAACTGGAAACGCGCGCGGTTTCGGTGACGCACTTCCCTGCGGACTTGAAACTTTTCGTCGTGCGCGAGAGGCTAAAGCTCGGGCGCGATCACCTGGCCGCGCCGCTGCCGTTGTCGAGACGTCATGTCACCTGGATTCGAGGCACGCTGACCCAGTAGGGCAGCTTCTCCGCCGACGTGTTCACGGGAAGCACCACGGGATCGTGCATCGGTTTGTTGCAGCTCGGGTTGCACTGAGCACCTGACAGGTAGACACGGACGTGAAGTATATTTATATTCTTAGGTTTTTTCGGTAAAGTCACGTAGGTGAAACATTTTAATTAAAATTAATAAAAGTAAAATAAAATAAAAATAACGACGTTTCGGAGGCAACACAAGCTTCCGTCTTCAGGTTGAACCGTCACAGCACGATAGCTGTATCAAGTGAGAGAAATTCCAAGAAAATAGTCCTTGTATATATCCTGGTTGAGGGTGGGTGGAGCCAAGGTAGGCCCTGAATATTATTTTTGTGAGGTTCGGTGCGGCTGAAGCACGCTGTTAGGAATGAGCCTTTGTTGTGTAAACTAGGTGCGGATGATGTAAAGGTGCGGATGATGTAAAGGTGCGTGTAAGAATATGAATCCTTGCAGTCACGAAAGCTTCAAATCTAGAGTTAATACGGACGTGAAGGTGGCGCGAGCCCTTGCTGACGCACCACCGCTGGCGGAAGGGCCTCGACTGGGCGCAGCTCCAAAGAGGCCCTCTAGGTCGACGGTGGTCCGCAAGGCGGTCGGCAAGTGGTCTGCTGAACTGTTCCAGATTTAGAGTTTTTTTTTACTTTTTACACTCCCCGTACTGCACAAACCTTTTGGATCGGTTGATAAAAATTAACAGTTTTCATGGTCTTGTTATAGTTTCTGGTCGATAAAAAGGGAATAGTTGGCATGGCCTTGTTATAGTTTCTGGTCGATAAAAAGGGAATCGTTTTCATAGCCTTGTTATAGTTTTTGGTCGATAAACAGGGAATAGTTTTCATGGCCTTGTTTTTAGTCGAGAAAAAGGGAATAGGTTTTCTGGCCTTGTTTAATTTTTGGTCGATAAAAAGTCAATCGTTTGTATGGCCTTGTTTTAGTTTTTGGTCGAAAAAAAGGGAATAGTTTTCATGGCCTTGTTATAGTTTTTCATGGGTCGACAGTCGTCCGTGTGTCTATAAAGGTTGGGAACCACCACTCGCATTTTGGCCTACCCTCCAATGCTGGCCAGACGTCTTGGAAGAGGTGGAAGTGCCCACACTCTACACCGCCACGTGTGACCCCGCAGGCCGACTTAATGTGGTGAACACATTTATACTATAGAGTGGACAGAGGCTGTAAATAAGGACGGGGGGGGTGGGTGGTTGCGGGATCCAGGAAACCTGCACCCTTGTGTGCAGATGGCAGGTGTGAACTCCAATCGCTGGATCGTCAATCAACTGAGCCCCTCCCTGTTCAGACCCCCCCACCCCCCCGCATTTTGAAGGTATGGCGAATCACCCCTTGTTTGTGTCCCACATGGTAACATACCTATTTTGTGGCCCTGGTCGCACATGAAGAGGACTGTGCCACTTGACTCGGGGGGGGAGCATTCCCCGTTGAGGTTTGGGCACTGGCGGAGTTGTCCCTTCCAAACGCCGTTTTTTGTGCACCGCTGGGAGCTGGAACTCTGGCACGGCCATGCGCAGGAGGGACGGGTATCGATTAAATTCATCGTTCTTTACTTGACGAGGCGAGATGCGGTCGATATTTAACGTGGAACTTGTTTCGCACCGTACGTAGTCGACCGTGCTAACCGAAGGTGCTTCTTCATCACCAGTTCTGAACAGCACTCGCCAATAATGTTGGCAATGGCTTGGATTAAAACTCAACGTTATGAATTAGTTGTGGATCGACAGCAGAACTTACAATATTTAAAAACGTAAGAGCAACTACTGCCAGTTACACGATGATGACATAATATAATTCTTCAAAGCACTAACTTAATTGGTGATTAGCTATTGATTTATAAACTAAAAAATTTTAGTTTGTTATTTGAGAAACGTTTGGTCAAGGAATAAAATATTTGCATGAAAAATGAAATAGTTGCAACAATCACGTCAAAGCAATATTTTGCAAAATGCAGGACACAATGAATGTGGACCTTTGTATCGTATCGTAAATTATTGTGTGATTGTACAGCTTTGGAAGTAGTGCACAATAACAAAATAACCCCCCAAAAAACACACATTCGTCAATAACACTGAGGCATTCAAAGTAAAAAAATATATAATAGGCAATATTTCAGGAAAATGCCTTTCTTCATCAAAGCACACAGATATCGAATTATATTTATCATATGATATGTCATAATATTTCCATTGCGCGGCAACCCTAAAGTGGACCGTCTCATTAATGGGGGCACGGTGGATGGGGGGGGGGGGGGGGGTCTCACCGCCTTGTCCTTTCCCTTGCAGGTGATGGAGCAGCGGCTGCCAGCCTCGAACCCCCGTGTGCATTGGTAGAGTCCGTGGAGAATGGTCGGCGGAGGCTTGCAGAGCACCGGGACGCAGCCTCCCTCCTCCCACCGGCCATCCTCCGTGCAGCGCACCTGAAAGTTCTTCCTGTGGGCATCGTGAACGCACACGCGGTCATGTCAGGGGGCACGTGGTGTGGCCGCTGGCGTGATCGTTGACGCTTTCGTGACTGCAGGGATTCATCTTCTTTTGTTCTTTCTGTAAAGTCATGTAGACAGAAAAATAATAATAAATAAAGTGAATGCAAATTTCGATTTAAAGCTTTCGTGACTGCAGGGATTCATCTTCTTGGTTCTTTCGGTGAAGTCACGTAGAATGGAAATAATAAAATAATAATAATAAAACATAATAGAATAAAAAATATATATTTTATTATTTCCCTTCTACGTGACTTTACCGAAAGAACCAAGAAGATGAATCCCTGCAGTCACGAAAGCTTTACATCGAAATTTGCATTCACTTTATTTATTATTATTTTTCTATCTACATGACTTTACAGAAAGAACCAAAGAATATGAATCCCTGCAGTCACGAAAGCTTTAAATCGAAAAAGAGTTCAGGGGTATTTCATGGGTTTGAGTGCCACCGTTTTCACGTGAGCGACGTTCATAGTTATTTATTTATGGTGACTTGCTTACCTTTTCTGTACTTTGGGGCCGTCCATAAATTACGTCACGTGATTTTGGACGATTTTGACCCCCCCCCCCCATCGTCACACGGCGTCACAAATGTCTGACCCCCCCCCCCCCAAAAAAAAAACATGCTTCAAATCGCCTTAAACTATTGTCATTGTAGTGCGAATTTAATATGGCGCTGCACTCTGATGTTGGAGGAGAAAACATTTATAAAAAAAGTCTATTTAATTAAGTAGAACGTATTGTATTTTATTATGTTTTATTTTTATAATTTTATTATTTCCCTTCTACGTGACTTTACCGAAAGAACCAGGAAGATGAATCCCTGCAGTCACGAAAGCTTTAAATCAAAATTTAAGTAGAACGTGTTGTCTATATTTATTTAAAGTTGCGCATTTTGATGTGACGTCACATTTCTCAACCTCCCCCCCGCCCCCATCGTCACACATCGTCACAAATGTCTGACCCCCCCCCCCATAGGTGTGTGACGTCATTTATGGACGGCCCCTTTGCACTCCTTTTGTTTTTTTTTGTATAGTTTGTTGTCACTTTCTGACCTGCCCCTACTGGACATCTGTAAAAAAAGAGCTTCATAGCTCATCGGATTTCTCCTGGATGACTAAAGATTTTGAATCTCATTCATTTTTTTTTGTTTAACCAGGCGGTGAGAACTCAAGAGACCAGGATAGGGCCTCATATGCACGAGTGACCTGGGTGATACAAATAACAAAAGCAATAAAATAAAGTACAGCCACATCGGGGGGTGTTTCATCATGAGTTCTTGACTGTTCAGTATATGATACCACCTACTGGCAGTGCTTCGATGTATTCACACAATTCTGAGTGACCATTAAATTCATTAATGTGTCCTCTCTCTGCGTCCTGCTTGTGTGTTCCTTGCTATCGTTTTTCTCACTTGCACCGTCGCTCACATTCGTGTTCTACTATCTCTACCTTCTATCATCTCGTTTTATACACCTTCATTTTCACGTTATTTGCATCTGTAAGTGTACAGCCCTTTCACAATCAACTGCTAGATGAAAGTCTTCCAACATCATTTAACCATATGCACCATAAGAGTATGGGTTTGTTTAAAAAAAAAATTGTTTTATTTTTCCAGGTAATGCCCATTGAGTCAAATAGCTCATTTTCATAAGCGACCTGGCTATCACAAACGATTATTTTCACGGTAAGGTTAGGTTTTTAACGCGAACTCCACAGGTTTATTGTAATTGTGTCAGCGCAAATATGCACATCCAACTTCTCTCTCAAACGTACGCAGCCAACCGTGCTAACCGGAGGTGCCGGGGGAAGGACAGCACAAAAATCAGTTTTAAATAAATTAGTTTTCAATGAGAAACAAATATATAGCCATCTACGAGTGAATGCGATGCAGGACACGGAGCTATTGCTGTCATACTTTGTGAATACGGAAGCATTTGTCATTGGCCGACAAACACGTGGACCCGCACCATCAAATCTGTGTCAGATCAGCTTGTTTAAAGTGGGTTTTTTTTCCGTATTGCGATCAATACATCACTTTATCTGCAAAAGCAGTTAATCGATCGCCCTATCAATTAATCTATCAATCTATCAGCGAAAGGAAGTGGTGGGGGGTGGGAGGGGGGCGAGCGAGCGAGCGAGCGATCAAATCACGGCACACAAAAGCCGGATTAATTAGCTGAAATATGCAGAACGATTTCTGTCCACTGACTTGACCCCGTGGGCTAAGCCGTCTGCTGCAATACCACCCCGACCTCACCCTCCCCCCCGAACGGCAGCTTCAGCAATGCCGCCGCGCGTGACCGCATCGCGGCTCTGTTTGTCGGTGACATCATCGCCGAGAGAGCGAGAGAGAGAGGAGAGAGAGAAGCAACACAATTTGACGCGCCGTTTGAATCGAACTCCCTAACCCGATCAGCCACTTACGCTCAAAAAGCTTAGCATCGACACCGCTCGCCAGGTTAGGCTGATGCCCCCGCGATATAGATCACGGAAAAACCTGAGCCCAGCCCAAACTCCGAGAAATATCCCCCCCCCCTTCCATTTCTCTAATTGCCTTTTTGGTCACTGATTATTTCTCAGAGACTATAATTAAATATTTCTTCGGTTAGGGATTGTGTTTTTTTTTCTATGTGTGTCTGCAGAGCTTCTGTAAAATATGTACGCTCCTATAACAGTAGAATAGATATTACAAAAAATAATGCTTCATGGCGCTTCCACTGCTGGATGATGACCACCTCCCCTCCCCCACCCAACACCGTATCATTACTTCAGCATGCTGATCAGTGCGGGTGAAACAGGGGCCTACGACCCGATTCAGAGGTGTCACTCACGAACCAATGTTAACAACAAAATAAATAAAACATATAACTCGCTTAATCTACTGCCGGATGAAAGCCTCCCCAACTCCCGTGTCGGTCATGGGTATTGTTTGACCACACTTAATTACGCTGATCAGTACGGGTTCGTGAAGGGGAGAGAGACCCTGAGCCGATCCGGATATCGCTCGCCACTGATGTGAGCCGTGGGCAGGAATAGAACTCAGGTTGTCGGGTTCAGAGTGAAGTGTGCTAACCACCACTCCACCAGGCAACGGTATAGAATACTCACATTTAAATAGTTGGTTCTTTCGGTAAAGTCACGTAGAAGGGAAATAATAAAATAATAAAAATAAAACATAATAAAATCATTCTCACGACGTTTCGGCCACAACGCAAGCAGCCGTCCTCAGGTGAAGAACAGGTCTGTCGGAAAGACAGCGTCTGAATGATTCAGACGCTGCCTTTCTGAATGATTCAGACGCTGCCTTTCTGAATGATTCAGACGCTGTCTTTCCGACAGACCTGTTCTTCACCTGAGGACGGCTGCTTGGGTTGTGGCCGAAACGTCGTGAGAATTATTTTATTATGTTTTATTTTTATAATTTTATTATTTCCCTTCTACGTGACTTTACCGAAAGAACCAAGAAGATGAATCCCTGCAGTCACGAAAGCTTTAAATCGAAATTTAAATAGTTGTTCATGGAAAAAAAATTGGTGGCTAAATATTTTATCTGCGGAAATATTCCATTGGATGGTTTCAAGACGTGTCTGCAAAACAAAACGAAACTCGTGTGCCCAATTCGCGCATGAATTTTCCTTAACGCGCTTTTCATGAATAAAAACAATAACAACCACAGATCAATGTTTTTAAGAATGCAATTTTGCCAATTACACGCCCTGTAAGCATGTCAAAACCGAGCGCTACATTGGTCGAGACAATAATCCATTGAAAAATTATAACTGCTAACTTGGCACGCGGTGGCCTTTGGGAAGTTTAATTATGGTTCCCGTGTCAGGAAAAACAAATTGAAAGCCGTTGTAACTTTCAATAATTAACGCGCCGGGCGGCGGGACGTGTGCTTGGCTCAGTCCCATGCATCTCTGGCAAAACAACGCCAGGCCTGCAAACACCGATGGGTTTGTAGCCACGGGGTGGCAGGGAGTGAAATGGTGCCGTTTTGTAACGGGCAGCACACCGGACTTCCGATCCAGAGGTCGCCGGTTCGATTTGCTCTCTCTCCCTCGTGGTGAAAAGGTTCTTAAATCCCCACGTCCTCGTTTGATCCTCTCCTATGGCACCTCTATGAAGTCTGTCAACCCATCCTTGTCGCCTTCTTCGCTTCATTTCGCCACGAGGATGTTTTCATTCACCGACTCTTCCACACAAAGCGCTTCATCTCATCACCTACGGTCTCTACTCTTCAAGAGATGCTGTTGTACGGTATGTATGTTGACCTTATCTTGCACCGTACGTAGCCAACCGTGCTAATCGGGAGGTGTGTTGGAAGGACAACAAACTAACCACAAAAAGCAGTTCTAAAGAAGTTAATTTTCAATCTAAATTATTTAAAAGCGCATCGCTCCAGTGGCTTCCTGATATCGGAAGGAAGAGCATTCCAGACGGCCGTAGAAGCACATTTGAAAGCGCCGTGGGATGCGGTGACCGCCTTTGTTCAATGGACAGCCAAGAGCTGCTGCGAGGATGACCGGAGTGTGTGTGATGGTGGTGTAATGGTCAGCACCCTGGACTTGCAATACAGCAGTCGCAGGTTCGATTTCATCTTCTGGTGTGGCAGTTTAATGATTGGGGAAAGTTTTTTTGTTCTTTAATCCACCTCCCCCACTGCCCTCTGTCCACCCAGCAGGATAAATGTGTACAGCTGCGGTTAGTCGATCAACAGGATCACACGTGGTGGGAAGAAGTGTGGGTACTCCTACCTCTCTCAAGACATCTCGCCAGCGTGGAAGTAAAGGCCAAACACCCTCTCGAAGGGGCTGTCCAGTGGAGACCCTTCTGCCAGCAGTGATGCGAGCAAGCAATTGCAGGGCTGTGCCTTTGCCTTCGCAGTCACAATTATTATTTACAGGCGAGGGAGTGACTGAAGATAATGTGAATGAAGCATTTGCAGGCTATTTCCCTGTTGCTCACTACCTACTGTGAAGTTGTCATTTAAAGACCTGCTGACGTTGTTCACGAGACGTGGCTCTCATTCGCTGCATGCAGTCCCAAAATTACGGAAAAATATTTGCGTCTCCCCAGACAAATAACACCGATGGTCAGAGTGCGTCACGCGTGGTTGTTTTTTTGTGTTTGTTTATTTGTTTGTTTCCCAGGCTCTGAAACAAACGAGGTGAGAAGTGATCGCGCGAGGCATCGGACATCTAAGCAACAGCTTCGGGCTCCCAAGCAGCCGAAGGGGCCCCAGGTTCTAGAAAATCGAGATTGCATCACATATCAGCTCAAATCCCAGCACCTAATACGCGCGTATGTACGGTGAACTTATGTCGCACCGTACGTAGCCAGCCATGCTAATCGGAGGTGCGGGGGAAGGACAACAAGCCAAACACAAAACGCAGTTCTAAAGAAATGAGTTTCCAGTCTCAATTTTAAAGTGCCCATCGCCAGTAGCTTCCTGGCATCGGTAAGAAGAGCGTTCCAGACGGCCGCAGAAGCGCATCTGAAAGCGTCGCGATGCGGTAACCGACGTCTTTGTCCGATTGGCGGGTCGAGTTTTGGAAACTCCATGGATGTATCTTGTGTGTATGTTCCTATGTGCATGTGCGTCTCTTAGCAAATGATCGTTCACCTGGAATGTGCCCATGGACAACACACAAATACATTTTACAACATAAAACATGGATTTAATCCCTCATCTCTCTCTGACCTCCTGGTCTCTTCTTGGATCTGTCCCTTGTCCACAGCTCTCTCTCATATCACCACATTTCTGTCGCGTCCGTATCTTTCATCCCTTTGCACCTCTATCCGTTCTCCACATTTATCTCATCTGCCTAATGTCTCGTTCACTACGAGTGCTTTCTGACTGGTGACTCTGGGAGCACATGCCTTGAAATGCATGGTCTAATTGTGTCGCTCGATCATCAATGTAACCCTGCTAGGCTGGCCTGGAGTGGAAACTAACAGAGGAAGGCACTACCATCAAGGTACGAGGCACCGCCTGTCCGCATCACCCTACATTGCAACCGATATTCCAAATACTCCTACGAAAGGGTTTAAAAGAAAAAGAAATACGTGAACAACACAGGCAGCGACGGCTGTGGCGTGCCAGAGCAATTGGCGGAACAGTGTTCCGGAGTGGTCTGCATTATGAAAATTAATCGCGGCCAACATCAACAATCAACCACGTGCCGTGCGCTTCCCCCGCGCTCAAACAAGCCGTGCAGCGGGGCGACGTCTCGCACGTGGCCGGTGGCTCCGACTTGCGCCGGTGTGTCGGTATCGGGGCGTACCGACCCCCCCGCGTCCCCCACCACGCCACCACCACTTGCCTCTTGCCCTTTCCGCCAGCGATACGGTATCCGGGCCGGCAGCGGAACTTGCACACGGAGTCGAGCTTGTGGGTGCCGTTGGCGCACTGCGACGTGCGCAGCTCGGCGTTCGGCAGCGCCGGCGGCGGCAGGCACACCAGCTCGCACGACGCTTCCGGGTGCGACCACATGCCGTCCGCCAGGCACGCCACCGCCGTGTTGGTGCCTGCGTGCGGGCGCGGAACGACATAACACGGATGAAGGCTCCAAGCCCCCCACATACCGTCGTCATCTCTCGTGGTCTTACGATGCAGCGGTCCGTCTGAGCTCCCGCGCACGGGGTCAATCCCGTCGCTCCGTCTCAAACCGCGTGTTCCGAGCGCAATCAAGCATCGGAGCCAACTTTGGCACGCGGTTAGAAGTATCGGGACCAACGTTGGGCCAACGTTGACACGTGGTGCGAGCTGTTGGATGGACCAACGTTTTCGCATTCACCGGCAAGCCAAGACGGTCGCTGCATCGCGCGCTTTCAGATGCGCTTCTGCGGCCGTCTGTAACGCTCTTCCGATATCAGAAAGCCGCTGGAGCTGTGCATTTTTAACTTATCTATCGTGAAAACGAATTTCTTTGCAACTGCTTTTTGTGTTTAGTTTGTTGTCCTTCACCCGCACCTTCGATTCGCACCGTTAGCTACGTACGATGCGAAATATGTTCAACATTCACACATTAGGGCGTCAAAGTCTTGCGACCCAGATCATGCAGAGTGGTGCACCCTGTCCCCTACCCCCTACTGCACTCTTTAATCACTTGTTCGCAAACACTGGCGGAGCCAGTGGGGGGTGGGGTGGCACGTGCCCCCCCACATCGTTTCGAAACTCTGAGCCAGCCGCTCGCCGCGTGGCACATTTGCCATCTGCCTTCTCTAACCTACACTGACCATTGTGGTGAAGTATGGCGCCCCCCATCCATTGGGGAATTGTTAAAAGGGGCTGGTCATTGGAAGGGGGGGGGAGGTTGGGGGAGGGGCGGCAGGAGGGGACAGAACTAGCAGTGAGCAGCAGTCGTAGCCAATAACCAAATCGTCCACAATGCCCCGGGTCTCATCAGATCTCCGAAGCTAAAGGTGGTTGATCCTGAGACGCGACAGAGAGCCCATCGCAGCCTCACCCTTCTGCTGGGCGGGTGGGCGGCACTGGAAGGAGCAGGACTGTCCACGCGCGGTGCCCCGGGGGCACGAGAACGCGGCGTGCGGGACGAGCGAGGGGTGCGGGTGGCCGCAGTCGACGGGACGGCAGAGAACCTCCCCGCTCCAGCGCTCCGAGGCGCACGCCAGGGTCACCGACTCTGCCGGGCTCGCCTGTCGTGCGCGGTGGGGGCGGGCAGAGGAGGCGGGGGGGTGGGGGGCAGAGGAGGCAGGGGGCCGGTCATAGCGTTAGTTTCACTGCGTAGGTTTTGGCGGTCGCTTGCCGCGTGGCTCTGCGGCGCGTTCGCCGTTCGGCGGGGACCACGTTGCGCTGAAGGTGTCGAGAGAGATTCAATTAAATTCCAGAATGATAAGATGAAGAAGGTCTCCGAAGCCCGTGGAGTGAAGCGTCAGCAAGGCAATGCATGCCGAGGGCGGTGATTGAGCGCTGGCCGGGATCAAAATTGTGAAAGAGAGGTGGACGACAAGGGGTGATGTTGCAGTGCTTTTGGAAAACTGAACTTGATGACATGAATCAATAATGTGAGGTTTTTCTCTCCTTCACATTTTAATTGTGTTCGGGCAACTACTTGTCATCGCAAGCAGCATCACCAAATATATTACGTCAATAGCGGCTGTCGCTGGCCTCTAGGAAGTTATGAGCCTTTTCTGAGCAAACCATCACGGAGTTATGAAACCAGAAGTTCTCCGGTTTTGATCTTCCATGACGACTCATTGTCCACCCTAAACTGCATCCACACAAACCATGGCAAATGGCTGATGCACAAATTGATACTAAAAACACTCTCCAGGAGTGTGCGACTGTGGTCATCCAGAACAGACCGCACACAACGCTTAACGATGCAATGCCCCCATCCACAAATACGAAGGGTAGACGTCACAGCGACACGTGCACTCCGCTGGCTCCTGACGTGGTCGTCTGGCTTGACCACGTCAATGTGAAATTATCATTGTTGCTCTCCGTCTACATTAGCAGCGGCACGAAAGAAGAAGAATCATAAACATGGAAATTGATGATGAGAAAAAATAACAAAGTTGCATCGCGAAGGCAAGATAATTACACGGAGGATATAAAGATGGAAAACATGTATCCGAGAAGTTGCCTCTGTTAAGCGAACATTACGTACAAAAAGCACAATGGTCCAATAACTATTAGGACTGACTCAACCAGTCATTTGGCAGTGGATGTTTAATGATGTACCGAGTTGCATGCAATGTTGTGTCAGAACCCAAGAGAAAATGCTTTTTAACAGAAAAGGGTTTTCAGCTCGACCCGTTATCTTGACTGCTGCGATACGAGCTTTCCAGGAACATCTCCTGAATGTGCCGTCCTCTGCAAAGGTCATTCTGTCGGCAGACTCACGTTTGCGCGGAGAAACCTAAAACACCATCAGCGTAATTGTCCATCGTGCAGTGTGGTCATTACGGATGCGCTAAAGTGTGCAGCGTTGTTTTGCATAGAATAAAGCGGATGAAATGCATGCACACATTTCATTTGATTCCTTTAAAAGAGTCCGCTTGGTCGACGTTATCACATCGTTTTGTTTCAAATACCGGCGCAAAAATCTCAAGCTCCCGCTAATTGTAGCGAAAGTGGCTCAATTTTATTTTCCAGCACCATTATTATTACGTGTATCTTCTTGGTTCTTTCGGTAAAGTCACGTAGAAGGGAAGTAATAAAATAATAAAAATAAAACATAATAAAATATTATTATTTTATTATATTATTATATTATTTTATTATGTTTTATTTTTATTATTTTATTACTTCCCTTCTACGTGACTTTACCGAAAGAACCAAGAAGATGAATCCCTGCAGTCACGAAAGCTTTAAATCGAAATTTATTACGTGTATGTCAGGACCAAAAGTTAAAGATTCCGTATCGTGTGCCACTTGCCCAGAAACTGTCACCTATTCCTGCGTGTGCTGTGCATGGCGGCGCTTGCTGCAAAGGCAACAAAAGCGCTGCAGCAGTGAAATGTTTCAAGTGATGATGTCATTTTTCCACAAATAGCCATCTCATTCGCGAGAATGGATGGATTTTTTTTTGCTTCTCAAATCCATGAGAGCAGATTGGCGTTGGGGGGGGGGGGCAATTGGGAAGCAGACAGAGAGATAGAGAGAGGGAGAGAGAGTGGAACGCAGGGAGGAAAGGAGGGAGACCGAGAGAGAGACAGTGAGAATGACAAGCCTGCATGCTGTGTATTCCTGATAGCTAAATTACTTTCAAGTCTGGTCTATCTGACATTTTTACATTTTCATCTTTTTTAACTAAATTGCACATGCAGGTACACTCACTGTGAATCAGCCTTATTGATGAGACATCATGCGCCGTGTCTGCTCGCGGTCCTGACGCAAATCAATGCGTGCGTGCGTGCGTGTGCGCTTCTGCATGTGCGCGGGATAACGTCATTGTCGTTTTTGCAAATGTAAAACAAAAATTACTTTGGTTTCGCAGGAGACGGAACATGATACGGGCGTAGGTGGGGGGGAGGATGGGACCGAAAGTCGCTTGCAAACCTTGCAGAATGAGTACCGCAGTCTTAACAATAGGCATCCATGATCCCAATCAGCTAATCGCAAACGCTGGCATACTACTAATGCTTTGGGCAGTGGTTTTCATTTGCATATGTTTAGGCTGTGATTTAATTGAAATGCGTTACATTCTCTTACGAAATTTCCACTGCTCCCCCATTGCATTCCCTGCTCCCATAAATCCTCCTTCCACACACTCATTGACAGGTACCTGCATATATTTACTCAGGCAAAATTAGGGTCTTAATTTATTTTATTTTTTATTATTTCCGGAACGAACAAATGTTGTATGTATGTTGAACTTCTTTCGCACCGTACGTAGCCAACCGTGCTAATTGGAGGCGTGGGGAAGAGACAAGAAGCTAAACAACACAAAAGTGCTTTTAAATAAATTAGTTTTCAATTGTAGCTTGTGACATGACCCCAATTGGAATACGAGTTTAGAGACTTGTATGACATTGTATAATGTAACATGGTAGAAGTGCATATGAAGATGCCACATAGAGAGGGTGGCAGGCATAGCAATAGAGGAAAGTTCCGAGGTTGGATTGAACCATAATTTGAATCAGAATATTTATTCATACTGGAGGAATCCAATGAGTTGTTAAGCTCGTTTTTCACAGTAGGGACACGGGGTAAGAACGTTACAGCAACAAACAACACAACAAACACGATAGGAGTGCAAAGTATATGAAAGGTTATCAAATCACTTTCAATACAAATAAAGCTAAACTATGTTTTTATTACCAGGTAAAGCCCACTGAGCTATGAATGTATTTTCAGAAGCAAATTGTGCCACAAATGTCAGCTCAAAAGAAGTGGCTTATCGCGTGAAAATTGACAGCAGCAAAATCATATGAAGGTCTCAGCGTTGTGGATTCCCACGCGAAGGAAATTCCAGAGAAGTGGGTGCAGTTGCGGAAAAAGTGTGATCTCAAAACCAAAATAAATTAGCGTATTTACCTTAACCAAATCATGCTCAGTGAAAGGTTGCATGAGCTCCAGGAGCAGACTTGAAAGAATTAGATGGTAATCTGAAAATAATTGTATGATAATCTGGAAAGAATTGTATGATAATCTGAAAAAAATTGTATGATAATCTGAAAAGAATTGTATGGTAATCTGAAAAAAATTGTATGATGATCTGAAAAGAATTGTATGATAATCTGAAAAGAATTGTATGGTAATCTGAAAAGAATTGGATGGTAATCTGAGAAGAATTGTATGATAATCTGGAAAGAATTGTATGATAATCTGAAAAGAATTGTATGATAATCTGAAAAAAATGTATGATAATCTGAAAAGAATTGGATGGTAATCTGAAAAAAATTGTATGATAATCTGAAAAGAATTGTATGGTAATCTGAAAAGGACACAACTGGAAAATTACATCTGCCTATGTGCAACTAGGAGAGTTGTTGGCAATCCAACAGAAACAAAATGTTAAAATTAAGAGGTGGAAGAGCTCATGTTAGAGGGCTTTGAAAAAAGTGAGTTTGGTCATGAAAAGTAAAATAACAATATAGTCCATCGAAAGAAGTGCGTGTTTAATGCGTGCGTACTGCCTGTTTCACAGACACGGTCTTTAACGACAAAACACAGCACAAAAAGTGAATGGTGCCCAAAGAAGAAGTGCGGAATTACACTGGGAGACAGAGAAACACACACATTACGAGAACATGTGCAGGACAATGCCGTCGTTAAAAGTGTAAGAAAAAACCGTAGGTCTTACTTGTGCAGGACATGTTGCAAGAAGGCACGATGGCAGATGGTCAAGAATAATAACGGAGTGAAAGCCAAGAAATTTAATACGCCGGAGAGAGCGTCCACTTAGGAGATGGCGCAAATTGAAATCGGCTCGTGCGGGCAGGAAAATAACATCGCCTTGGCGGAGGCCTTCATCCAGCAGTGGATTGACCACGGCGGACGGCGACGACGACGAGCCTGCACCGCGCGCGTACCTTGCTGATGTTGGTCTCCTTCTCCCCGCGCGCGTACAGCTGGAAGCCGCGGTTGCAGGTGACGGAGCACCGCTGGTTTCCTGGAGTCATCCCCTGCCGCCACGTCACGCTGGAGTCGCGGGCCTCGGGCTCCTCGGCACCTTCGGCCCACGCAGTCTGCACGCCGCCGTCACGTCCGCCCAGGGCCTCTTGAGCATCGCCGGTGCAGACCACGGCGCCGTTCTCCACGTGCGGCCGCGCGCAAGGTGACTCCGGCATCTCGCAGCTGCAACACAAGGTATAGAGGTCAAGGTGTGACCTTCACACACTGTTGGGGCAAGTGCAGTTACTGAGCAGTTACGATGAAGGCTGGTGCAGTACAGGCGTGGGGGTGGTGTGGTCAGAAACCACCCTCCCTGTTTTTCTGCTTGCACACTGCACCAGGTACTCATTGAAGGCGAAGTCAACCTAGGGGAGGCCCGGGACAGGTCCAGACAATTGACGCTGATGTGAGCCGTGGCCAGGAACCTAACTCGGGGGGTTTAAGGGTTTCTTGGCGCAGTGTGTGCGCGTAGCTCGGCTATTTTGTTGTATTCCCATGACTTCTTATAAAGTCTTGCGAGTTTACCCTCATTATTTTCATAAGTATGTTGTGTTCCGAACAACAGTACAAATATCACGTAGTTCCTTCTACGAGCTGTAAAGTGCTTTCCGATATTTGTTTTGTAATCCTTAAGACTATAAGATTACACGTGCAGATGGAGATGGTTAAGGATGAAAACGAGTAAAATCTAAATGTAAAACAACATACACATTGATATTGCCAAATAAGCCCTGCATGTGTCTAAACATGTCAAAGCTTGTAAGCTAAGCAGGGTTGTTTAAACCTGGTGGCCTCGGCTTGGGCTCTGCGAGATCGCCAGGAGATGTTTGCATGGCAAGATATTCCTGAATTCATCTGTGCGGAGTTGTTATTTTAATGTAATACTCCGTGTCAGAAATCATTAATGTCACGTGTTCAGGCATCCTTGATGTGGCTGTTGAGTAGTCTATGTCCTGTGTACTGACTCACCCCTACCACAGGAATGTGGAATTTCCACCAATGGCTCAGGGCTGTCAACAGGAAATAAATGCTTCTACTATGCTCGTTTGAGCAAGAAACCGCTGACTTCTTATTTACGATTCGAATTCGCCTGCAAAACGTCAGTTTTCATTAAAGTCTATAATCGCACGGAAGCTGGTGTTATTTTATTTGTGTTTTTCCACAATATTTCTTCAAGTGATTCATATTAAGAACTCTCTCCCGACATCACGGTGCACAAACGCGTACACTCGCACAGCACGTCCGGTTGAATTTCAATCAGCACTCTGCACGTCATGGTGGGATGCGTTCAGCAACCATCAGGCGTGTGTCGTGTGCGACGACTTAATTTGTAGTTTATTGCCTAGTGCGGAGAGGCGTATGTATGTATGTTGAACTTCTTTCGCACCGTACCCAGCCAACCGTGCTAATCGGAGGCGCAGGGGAAGGACAACAAACCAAACACAAACAGCAGTTCTAAAGAAATGAGTTTTCAATCTAAATTTCAAAGTGCCTATCGCCAGTGGCTTCTTGATATCGGAAGGAAGAGCATTCCAGACGGCCGCAGAAGCGCATCTGAAAGCGTCGCGATGCGGTGACCGACGTCTTTGTCCGATTGGTGGGTCGAGTTTTGGAAACTTTATCGATGTATCTTGTGTGTATGTTCATGCGTGCATATGCGGCTCTTAGCAAATGACCGTTCACCCAAAACGTCCCCAACCTCATCCGATCTCGGAAGCTACGGCAGGTTGAGCCCTAATTATGCTTGGACAGGTGGACACCATGCACACACAGGTCGTATAGGCTGCTAAGTTGTCAGCATAGGTCAGTTCAGTAAAATCCAGCGTTGCGCTGTACTTCTAAGCTCCCACTTCTTCTATTCGTCTTTCCTGCACGAACCCAGTGTGAGTAAGTGTGGTCATATAACACCCACACACCCAGGCGGCATGGGAAGGCCCTCATCCAGCAGTGGATTTACACATGGCCGTACAGGTGCGTGTAGAGGAGTGGCTCGCTGGCTTAGGGATAATGAGCCAGCACTGCTCCCCCCCCCCCCCCCCCATGATAAAATGGGGTTCTCAAGAATTAGTGAGTCCATGGTCTCAGCCTGGTTACCGATGACTGCACAACAACAACAACAATCGGGCTCCATTCGATGTTCTGATTAATTTCGCAAAAATTCCAACTCTGAGAATCGCAGAAAGTAACCATTTCGTTTGACTGGCACATGACAAATGGAATCTCCGCCGCAGAGTGATGCCCTACACTGTGAAAGTCCCCAAATGGGCATTACTTTATCGAATAATGTGGGTTTTTTTAGGATACTTCACGCTTTCGCGACCTAAAGCACCTTGCTTCAAATTACAAACCCCAGCCATTGACATTTCACTGCTGCAGTCGAGCCAAGGGGGACCCCCCCCCCCCCCTCCTGCCCAATGGGAGCTGTGCCTATGCCGCACAAGGTGAACACAGGACCGCCCCGCAAAACGGATGCGTCTGCCAGTAGGTGGCAATGTTGCCGTGTAGTTTCATCGAAATTTAGTTACGGTAATTTACGTTTAAGCACGAACTCATGAACTCTGTGAGGGTCCGCACGTCAACGAGTTGATGACATTACAGGTTACCGAGTTAACATTTACAGATGTACATGCCGGGTTGGTGCAAGGGTGGCGCAGTGGTTACGCTCGCGCATCACAGCAAGAAGCGCCTGAGTTCGATTCCCGATTCGGGTGCCTTTCTCAGTGGGATTTGTGCGTTCTCTCCCCCGTGTTCTGTGCGGGCTACCTGCGGGTTTCCCTCCAGAGCAAAAAAATATCACGCACTCTAACTTCCATTGAACAAACATCACAACGCTGAAAATTAAGCCCGCAAATCACTCAATGATTTAGTTTGTTGCCCTTCACACCGCGCCTCCAATTAGCCGAATAAACGAAATGCATGTTCATGAAAGTGGAGGACAAAACTGGAGGGTCCGGAGAGAATTCCACGCAACCACGAGGTTGGATTCCGAACCCACGACCTCCCGTGTACCCGGAGATCGCATCTTTGAGGAGTTCTGATTTGCACGGTTGGCTACGTACGGTGCAAAAGAAGTCCAACGTGCACGCATACATACACTGAGCAAGAGCGCTCTTAACTTGTGAAATACTAGCGTGACCCTCTTGAAAAAGAGTTTCGAGACTCAGCGAGGATTTTCTGGGTAAACAAGCGAAGTGATACAGACAAAAAAATCAAACATGCCGATACGCAGATCGATCCACACTCGTGCACACGCATGCACACACACATCCAGACGCGTCAACACGCGTGGACACACGTTCACACCAAGGCCGTAGCCATGGAGTCAACATTGGGGGGGACCAAATCTTCTAGGGGATCTGGGGGTCCCCCCCCCAGAAAAAAATCTAACTAAAAAAACAAATTTCCTGCCATTTCCTGGCTAAACTATTTAAGAATTCACTAACACATAGGAAGGATTATTTTTTTTTACGATAATGTCTAATAGTGTATTGTATTACATTGCTCTGTTTTTTCCTTTTTACCTTTTCTTGTTTTCGTTGTATGTAATGGCAGAGATTAGGGATTAATAAAGTATAACCACAATCATATAAACAGAAATCTATTTTATAGCAATATATTGGGGGGGTCATTTTGAGCATATTTGAATATGGGGGGGGGGGATGTGTCCCCCCCCAATATGTATTATAATTACGGCCTTGGTTCACACACACGAACTTTCAAAGCACGCAGCTCGCTGAACAATAATTGACATTTGTAAGGCTGCATTTCATCCGTAGATTTCAATGCGCCCGTGTATGCAAAGCAGTAAATGAACAGAACCTGTCGGGTAAATGGGAAGAACTAAGTGGTATGCAAAGGGCTGTTTAAAGAGCTGAGTTTTCAAGACAGACTTCAAACATAACCTAACGACTCTTATTGTCTTATAAGCAAAGGCAAAGCGTTCCACACCTCGAGAGGCACACTGTGGCAAAAAAACCCAAACACCCCAGAAAAATACTCTTAGTTCTTTCGGTAAAGTCACGTAGGTAAAAAATGAAATAAAAATTAATAAAAATAAAATAAATATTAATTTTAAAATTAATATAAATAAAATAATTATTAATTTCAACTTCATTTTTTACCTACGTGACTTTACCGAAAGAACTAAGAGTATGAATCCTTGCAGTCACGAAAGCTTCAAATCTACCCCAGCAAAAGATCCTTGACCTTGGAGTCCTTAGAAGAAGGTGATCTAAAGACCGCAGGGAACTCGTTGGGCAATATCTGTCGCCCTTCCCCTGCGCCTCCGATGGGCAAGTTTGTCTAGGTACGGGTGCCAAAAGAAGTCTGACGCACGTACAGTACGTGCGTACATACGTAGAGCTAACTTGAAATCGGTTCCTGCAAATCATCGCCGGGGCGAACCTATCGGCGGCTCGCCGCTGACGGAGCGAGCGTCGCCAATTTGACGACCGAGCGAAACCCCCGGGGGGGGGGGGGCGGGGGGCGGAAGGAAAACAACCGAAGCAACGACGACGATGACGCCGGCGACCTTTTTGATCCGCGTGGCTCCTCCTCCTCGCAGTGCGGGCGACCCCCCTGACTGGCTGATCGCAGCGCCACCCCAGAGATGGCGACCTCCGGTGACCCCATGCTGACCTGCACACCCCGAGTCAGGACCTGGGGTGCCGGGGGGTCAGGCGAGGTCACCGGAATCACCAAGGGGTTGAAGCTGCAGCTGACGGGGTAGCTCCCTGGAACACAAAAGCGGGGAGGGGGGGGGGACACAGAGGGATAGAGAGAGAGACACACTCTGATTTGCCCTTGTGAGCTCAGAATCTTTATTGGACTGGAGGAATCCAATGAGCTATGAAGCGTAAATATATCTATCCTCTTTGGTTCTTACGTGACTTTACCGAAAGAACCAAAGAGTATGGATTCTTGCAGTCACGAAAGCTTCAAATCTAGAGTAAATATATCTATTTGATTGACTTCTCCAAAAGGTCCCACCCCACATTACCTGCAGGAACTAATACATTCATATATTCCATGAAGGTGCTTAAGATATTTTGATCTTCAACTGCTCAGCACTCCCAGGTCTCTTAGGTTGTGCTCCTTTTCGTGATTGGGCTTTTGTTCGCGTGGCACCCAAGCGATGGACTGCCTTGCCACTTGAAATCAGGCCATCGGAGTCGTAGAGATATTTCAGTCTGTTTTGAAAGCCCATCTCTCTTATGTGGCCTTCACTCTTTGGGTTGGTCAATTGCCCTGGCTCCGTTCATGTTTCCTGCTTTCCACACATGGCGCATTGGAATCCTTGGATGGATCGCGCAGTATACATTTTGAATTATTACCCGACAACATCCCACGTGGTCTACCAGAATGACTGCTTCATCTCATCCGTACGGTGTTCGACCAAACACACACTTCTCTGTCCACGGAATGCTTCTGATTTTGCGGCTCCTGAATGTGAAGTTGCATCTACAGCAGCCATAGGAAAGAAGAAGAGGAAAAAGACAAATACGGAGAGAGAAAAAAAACCACCTACGGTGAACTCCATACAGCCGCTTTAAATGTCCACTGCTGGATGAAGGTCTAGCCACATTGTTTTAGTCACGGGTGTGGAGTGGAATATGGCAGGCTTCGCACTGCCTACTCTGTTAAGTGACAAACCATGACTAATGCCATCTATCAACGGTCTCCTGGTCTCCAGTGCAACAAATGAAGCCATGGGTGGTGTTTTATGTTTCTATGTTCATATTTTGTTTGTTGCGGTTGCACCCGACTCAAGAGCCGCATGGCTCACAGGGCTACACCTAATAGATGAAGCTTGAAGCTTGTCCATATTCGCCTTGCAGGCTGCGGGGTGCTGATGGAGCGGAACTCTCGGGATTGGTTCAGGTATCACTCACCGCTGACGTTATAGTCGTGGCCGGGAATCAAACGCAGGTCAGCGGGGGTTCATAGCACAGTGCGCTCACCACGATGTACTCTATGTCAGCGTTGATGTTTTTTGGCTAGGCGTTGCTCCTCACAGAGCATTGATGATTCATCCCCCCCACCCCATGCCAATGCATGAATAGCATTGGTTTTGGTTCTTGATTATTTCGCGTTGTTTAACGTTTATTTTTTCCATCTCGTCCTTACGGCTTTTTTTTTTGGGAAGGCTTTCTTTTTTCTCCGTTTCTTCCCATTAACCTCACTTGCAACAGCGGTGCATTATTTTCGCGTTCGTCTCTCGCATGCGTGACTAAATGCGCGCATGTTGGGAGGGCATGAGAATTGAATTAATTCCACCCGACGTTGCACGCGCGCCAATTCGCTCGCAAAGTCTTCAGCGAACTCACAGGACCCTCTGAAATACGAGTCGACATGTGGTCTGAGCAATAGCCCCTTAACACCAGTTGAATTCAATGAATTTTGCCAGTAAGGTACGCACAGGAACAAAATGCATTGCATCTCCCGTTAAAAGCAGCTCTGTTCATTGTCATTTATACCGTGCAATGCAATACAGTTCATTGGACCAACTTTCTGGCATTGCAACACCTCACAGCGCTTAGACTATTGATCTTGAGGCCAATAACGATTTTACCAGCCCGTTGCATAAAATTTAAAGTTAAATAACAATAATAGAAAAAAATGTGACCTCCCCCACTCCGCTACCCATTCTCTCTTCCACCGCCAACAATTGCCAGCGAATTGAAATATCAACGAAGCTAAAGCAGCCGTGGTGGCTGCCTCTGGGGTGGCCCGTGATGTCGACCCAATTGTCGTCTGCCAACCACTTTCCGCTACGCATCCATCATGTCCCCGCGTCCGCGGTTCAACCTCTGACCTCTCGTCCATTACTGTAAAAAATAAAATAAAAAGCCATCAACCCGCTCCCCTTTCCTTTGTGTTTGCCTGTTGCCCTGTACCAACCGTGGGGAAGCTTTCCCTTACTGAGGGCTGAGCGGGAATTTGAGAGAGCTTTTGGTCGGCCACATTTCTGACACAAAAAAGGCAACGATCCCCCCGTACAGCTTTCACAAGCCGTTGGGACAAGTGCTGTTAGCGAGTAGCACCTATCAAGGCCCGGCCCCATTTGACTCCCCAGTGGTGACGTTTACACACACCGCACTCATTTGGCTGAGTCGACCTAAGGGAGGCCCAGGGCCGGTTCATATATCGCCAACGGTGGTGGCCGTGAACGGGAATCGAACCCGGCTCGCCAGGTTCGCAGCGCAGTGCGCTAACCAGCTACAATACAAAAGACAAACACACACACCTTCGGGTTGTCCTGAAAAAATAATTACATCTCACTTTTTACCACACTAATTCGATGTCTGTGCCCGCTCTCCTCTCACTCACACGTCGATGTGGAGATCGCAATTCCGTAGCAGACGCTCGGCCAAGATCAGGGCAGGATTAAGGTTACGAGGGGCCTAAGGCGAATAGGAGGGAAGGGGGCTTAAGGATTAGAAATTGTAAAATACAATGGTGAAGTCATCAAACATTTATTTACCGTTGTAAAAGTAACGCGTTTATTTAAATCAAGACACAGGTTGCGTGGGGAATTTGAGATACGTGGCAATTTTTTAAACCGCAGCACCTGGGAGATGAAATCGACCCCTGAAAATTAAGTCCAGTGTGCTCACCACTACATCACGGCAGCAGCCTCATAATGACAAGAACACTTTTGCTTGTCGCTGGCCGATTAAATTGGGAAAAAATTGAATAACACATATATAGTGCTAGCCTGCATCAGCAGCTTGCCTCCTACCTTATATAACCTCTTGTTGCAGCAGCTCTTTCTCCTTCGTTAGCAGTTCTGCTGCTGTGTTGGTCTCACCTGATGACGGTTGCTTGTGTTGCGATCGAAACGTCGTGATCTATCATTTTTCTACCTTACGTGACTTTACCGAAAGAACCAAAGAGTATGGATTCCTGCAGTCACGAAAGCTTCAAATCAGGATATATATACCGTTTTGCAAATCTATACGTAACTCTGTGTAAATATATAAACTCACCTAGGGAGTAACTCGTGCCATCGTCTTCGATGAGTGACACGTGCACGTATTTCTGGCTCCGGTTGGCCAGGGATCTGCCGATGCCATCGGCAGAAAAGTAAATCACCACCGCCGTGGCGATCCGAGGGTAGGGGAAGTGCACCTGCGGCAACAGACCGCACAGTCGTCAGCTTCCTGAAGACAATGGTAATACCCAACCATCCTCTGCCAATCCAGTGCTGCAAGGCAGAATATCCCCGCATTCGTGTCGGTCGCTGGTCAGTGTGGCTTAAGTAAATATAATTTAGTTTGTATAAAAAAAACAATTAAAAGATTTGTATGTTACCACGTAAGGGCCCACTGAGCTGTACAGCTCTTTTATCAGAAGCGACCTGGCCACAAACGGTAGCTCGAAGGAAATGGTTTTAACACGTGGACATTTCTAGCAGCCAACTACTCCAAACGCACGCTTCTAAATGCGGAGGGAAAAACCCGCAGGATCCAGGAGAAAAATTCACGCGAGCACGGGGAGAACAGACAAACTCCAAATATACAAGCGTCACGTGGGGTCGGGGTCGAACCCGCGACCTCCAGCATGCCGGGCGAGGGAGTTAACATCTCGCCACGGCTGCACGTGAAGCGATCAATGCCCCACGCCGACCCAACGGCGCGACTCCGAAACCTGACGACGCGAGATGAAGAGCGGTCGTGGCGGCCCGGCGCTCGCTCACCCATATCCAGTAGGGGTTGTCGGAGGGGTACGTGTCGGGGTCGGCGGCCTGCAAGCACGGGAACCACGCGTAGCTCGACATGTCCTCCGGCAGCACCACGAACTTGCTCCGGCAGCCCTGGGTGGCGGCGGGGAGGGTGGAGAGGTCGCGGCCGTAGGAGGTGCGAGCGCAGCAGGGTAAGAGAATCAGAATCGGAATCTGCATGTCGACTTGGAGGCAGGAATCCGATGGGCTATGACGTTCTTATTCACATAATCATGAGAATCGTTGTTTATCCTGAAAAAATCCGATGAACTATGAATCTCTCTCTTTTTTTATGTCCAGTAGGGGCTGGTCAGGAAGTTACAACAAGAATACAAAAACGGATAAAAGTGCAAAGTGTAGGAAAGGTAACCAAGTCCAGAGAGGACTGTTTATCGCTTGACAGTCCAAACCAACAGTTTCAGTATCGGAGCTGCAATTGAAACCCAATGAAGCGAAAAACCAATTTATTTCCACGCACTTGAGAACCCGGTATAGCCACGGGCGGCAGAAAACCTGGGTTCGAACCCAGGCTCCCAGCAGTCTTTTCTCAGTCTCTCTAATCCCTGAGCTACCCAGCCACCTCATTGCTCTCTGTCTCTCTCTCGCTGTTCAGTGGTGGTGGGAGGGGGGGAGGCGCAGCCACATCAGATTTACACGCCAGGCCACGGGAGCCCTGCGTGAGACTGCCCTTTTCACCAGGGTGCCTTTCATTTTCCATAGAGGCAGTGGGGGGGGGGGGGTGGTGCACGCTGCAGAAGGGATTGGCAATTTGCTGATGGAGAACGGTTAGTCAAAACATCAGTTATCTTACGGAAGGAAGTTCGCGAAGATTGAGTTGAGAAGCGAATTATGCACGTGTTGAAGCGGTGCTCTGTTCATTTGCGCTCTAACGTCATTATGTTATCGTATGGAACTCGCATCTACAAGTGTTGCTCCCTCGCGTGGTGCGTAAGAGGGGAAGAAACGGCAGAGAACGGCTTGAGGACATCACAAGAGATCGGTGCCAGACAGATGTGGCCACGACGACGTTTGAGCATATTGACACAAGACAGAGAGGAAAGTGCAAACAAATGACGAAATGTGCAGTGGGCACTTACGAGCTACCTGCCCATGGGTCGTGATGATGATGATGGTTATTGATAAGCAATCCTGTAATCCGATTTGTCGCAAGGGCTGTGCTAGGTGTTAATCTTATTCTCTGTGATTATCTGAGAGTTTTGCTGCAGTTGTCCGAGCAGCAGAGCATGGAAGAAAGAAGAAACACATAATGAGATAAATGTGCTGCCAGGTTTCTTGTCCGCGAGGGTGAATCCTGGCGCACGGCGGCGTTACAAGTTGAAATGACCAAATCGCGAGTGGCCAAAAACTCGGTATTTTAACCCTCAGTTAAGTTTCTGACAAGGTATTTAACTCGCCACTCTGTGCCACCTCTGGTATTGGGGGGGGGGGGGCTTTAACGCTCTCACAAGGCACCAGGGAACAACTGAAATTCTGTTCAGGCAAATTAAATGCCTCATTGAGCAGCTTTTACTACCACTGTGCCGTTAAGCATCCCTTGACGAGATGCTTGTTTTGTTTTATTGGGTGCTCCCCTAATACGTTTGAGAGGATGTGCACTAATGCCCACTGCGGTGTGTGCTTTCACAACTCTCCCATGTCTGACGTTTCGCTGCGAAATATCGGATGTCGAGCAAATCAGAATCAGAATCTGAATATTTTATTTATATTGGAGCAAGCCGATGAGCTATAAAGCTCTTTTTCACTGATATACTAGTAGGGGAGGGTAAAACAACACCATGATAGTATTGCAAAGTCCAAGAAAGGTAAAAAAAAATCACCCAAACGCATACAAATGCAACTAAACCATCCCTATTCTACCAGGCAAAGCCCACTGAGGTGTTAACTTATTTTCCCAGAAGCGACCTGGCCACAAGTGGTCGCTCCACAAAGTGGCCCGTCATTTGGACATTGATAGCACCAAAATATATCTAAATCACCTCAATGCGTGTTTCTAACCAGAATAAGCTGCGCTCGTCCTTGTAGACAGAGTTGCTCAGCTCCGTCCGCTCACGTGGCGAGATGTTATCTGCTTCAGCCTGGTGTACAGCACTTCGTGGGTTCGATCCCGACTCATTGAAACCAATCGTCCGAACCTAATCCCTAATCCCCAATTATCCTCGGCGAACATCCCCACGTGACACGGGCCGCCGTGCGGGAGGCGGCCCCCACGCCCCACGCTGTTCCGGCTCGCCGCGCCGCACTCGTGCGGACCTGCCCTCGGATCCGAGGTCGGCAGATCAAAAAAAAACACAAGCGAGTGTGACGCACGGCGGCTCGAGTCCCGGGGGCTGTTCAGAACGCAACGGAGTGCCATTCCGCCCGCGTCTCCTGGCCAAGACACCGACCCCCCTTGCCCCCCACCCCCTCACAGGTAGACAACACCTTTCTCCCGTCGGATGCCGCAGAACCGTTGGCATGCCCCTTCTTCGGTCGTCTGTGGCAGTGGGTTTGCCATCTGCGGCGATCGCACCTTTGTTTATCCCGCCGTCATTTTTCGTCATCAGCAGCAGCACATCGTGCTGTGATCTACCCACAACTGGATGTTGGTGTCTCGGTCTCGGGACAGAATGCCATGTGGTGGCCGCTTCATTCATGAGTGGGGGAAAGAAATAGGACCATTGTTGGGGGCCTCTTTTGTGTCAGGCCTCCCCCTACCTCTCTGGGCTGCCCTGATCACAATCCATACAACTCCTGCACATGAGCTGATTTCGTAGCTACATCTCTACAGTAGGCGTACTCTTGGACAGATGAGGATTTCTTTATGTGACCATATTTCACCGCGTTGGTCAGAGCAGGTTGGTAAAGGTGGGGAAGGCAGGACTGGTTCTAAATATCACTCGCCACCGATGTTATCAGTGGCTGGGGAGTGAAGTTTGGGCTGCTTCATTCATTGTGCAGCACGCCAGTCCACGTTGCCACCACCCCACATTGACAACGCTGCCTCCAAAAAAAGAACCCACCTACATATATTTTAATTGAAGATTAAACACTGATCTTCTTCGTCGGCAATTGCAGGTGATTGAAGAGTGCTGTGCCGGCACATTGTAAGCTCATGTTAACTGGCTACCAAGTTAAATGACCTCTCTCACTGTGCATCTGTGTGTGTGTGTGCCAAGTGCCACTTCAAGTAAACACAAGTGCGCTGTTGTGCCTCTCAAGGGGGCAGTTCTTGGCACGTCGTGGCTCGCGGATTACTTGAAAGGAATGTGTCCCTTAACCGCACGCTAGCGACGATGCCTAAAGTCATTGGTAACATCTCTCTCTTTGGAGACCGTCTGCATTGGCATTTGATGCAGTGGTTGTTGTTGTTGTTGTTGAGATACATTTCGTGAAATTTCAGAATGATGTGAAATAGAATATGATAATGATAATAATATACAGGCCTTTGTCAACCCCCTGTTAGATGAAGGCCTCCCCCTAGGGCCGTGTCAGTAATGGGGGCTATTTGACCATACTTCACCACATTGGTTGGTGAAGGAGTGCGGCACAGGACCAGGTTTTCGTATCACTCGCTACTGATCTTAGCTGTGGCCCGGAATCAAACAGCGTCCTAACCACTGCGCCACTGCTCCACCCGAAAACAGTATCGCTGGAGATTAAAAGAACAGAGTTTTCAAATAGCTAATTTAATTGTTTCTTTAATTGTTCATGAATGGTTGCGAGAAATGCCCCATTTTGGATTATAATCATTGACCAGCTCAGCTGTGGTCTGGATGAAAACTTATTTTAATGGATTGTGATAATCCCATTAGATTGTCTACAACCAAATTTTGCCCAAACGCATCGTGTCTTATCAGACGTCAGAAACTAAGCAGCGTTGAGCCTGGGCGTAGTAAGCGGAAGGGTGACAAGACGGCATGCCAGGTGCTGTTGCCAAGAGGCTTCGAGGTGGCCAAGAAGTTGCAGTGCTGAGTGTTACCCACCCCGCATGAAGCCAAAGACACAATAATGGTTTTGCCAAACGTCCCAATGTAGCAGGACTCTCCAGAACAACAGTCCTGGGGATTCAGCGAGTTCATCAAGGGCAAGTGACTTATAAATAAAAACGTATTCACCGAGTCCTAAATTCCACAATGTAAAGGGACATGTACATGTTCATCCTGTTCGCAAGTAGGACACCCTTCATGTAAGAACCTATTCAATTGTATCCATGTTACCGATTTTACAGGCAGATATTAACGCGAAAGAATCGCGCTCATTCCAATCGGGAAGCAGAATCTAAAAACGCCACGGATGAGGTTCCACGTTTACAACTTTGACCTCCGACCCTCTTGACCCTCGGCAGCCGTGCAGGATCACAACGATGATGCACGCGTATCGTCCTTTTAGAGAGGCGCTCGCAAACTCTTCGCTTCTAGGCCTAGCGCTTCTCGCTTGCGACGCTCCTTCAAAACTAACGCGTTTTCGCCTCCCTCGCGCGCCAAAAGTTTTGACGCCAACATTTAAACCCTCAATATGGCGCGTGATGCCACGGCAATAAATAAAAGTGAGTCTTCAAGAAGCTCTAATCCCCGCCGAGTCTATCCATGTCAGAAAGCGCTCGGCGAATAAGAATATTGTTAAATAAATTAATCTGGTTTAAAACCTCTTCACGAGCCCTTAATCCCATCCACCATCGCTTCCTAATCCAGGTTATATGAACCGCACATTAGGCTGGGTTTTGATCCAGTTAGAGGGCTCAGTCTGGATTAAGGCGCACGTTGTATGCTGGCAAGCTCCCGGGATTAGAGAACTTGCCCAATATCTGTTAGGATTTGTAATCTGTCGGTTATATACCTGTCTGAGATGCTGCTCTTGAATAAACACACCAAACACCTGCATCTACAGCACTTGTGTCAACCCACTGCTGGATGAGGGTCTCGCTAAGGCCGTGTCAGTCCTGGGGGGCTGTTTGACCATACTTCACCTCGCTGACCTGATGTACGTGAAGTGTAACTGTGCATGTTTTTTTTATATGTAACAAATAAAAAAACAAGCCTACACTGTACTGTGCATTCCATTTGTCGAATTAAATTGTTTTTAGGCGTTGTTGC